CCAGAGTGTCTGTCTGTGGTCATTCTCTGCCATGGTCCCTATCAGGTGGGGTCTGATTTAGAATGTTCCATTGTAGTGCCAATGCCTAGAGTTTCATCAGTTTGGTGACACAAGGGTCTTGCTATGGTAGACAGGGATAGATCTCCTGTTGAGGTCACTCCAACAGGAGATGTTGTTTGGCCACACTGATATTCAGAGCAGCATCCAGCTTGGCCAATGTACCCATGTTGGCATCAAGGTCACTATCACTGGCCTGACTGAAGCTCATTGTGTGGGGAATTAGGGTTTCTTTGCAAGGCCTGGGTTTCTGAGTTGGGGCATCATTTCTGTTTATCTTTCCAGTCTCATCCAAACCCTCACTTCCCAGGAAAGTCCCCTAGACTAAGTGACTTGTAGTTCCCAGTCATATTCTCTTTCCCTCCCCCTTAGTTCACAGGCCTTGCTCTCAGTGCCTGCAGTCCTGTTGGCTGTTGGCTCTGGCAGTAGAAGAATCCAGAGTTTGCTCCTCATATCTCCAGCGCCTCGCTCTGTGGTTGTTGAAATGGAAAACTGACGAATGTTTTCCCTTCTTGCCTTTCATCTCCTCTCCCTCCCCCATATCACCATTGCCTTAGAAACTGCTGACTAAGAAGCAAAAGGCCAGTGACCAGGGTCCTCTCTGACCAGGTCCTAGGTGAGAACTATGTCATAAGCGGCAGTGGCCACAGGATGCAGGTTTGGCAGGAATGAGGTAACCTCTACCCTTTGACATCCTCATTTAACTCAGATGTCAGCTGGGGCCCTAAGGTCCTTAGGGAGGAAAATTAAATGGGCCCAAATCCCCATTCCTAATGTATTGGGACCCCAAGTCAATTTCCCAATCTCAGTGAGGATTCTTGAAATAAAATGTTTCCTCACATTCTGATTTTCTGCTTTCAAGGAGTCCTAGATCTTTCCTCCTTGCAATCTTTTATATTTTAGCTGCCTCCTTCTATCTTTCATCTATTCAGAGAGATTTAGCTCTTTTTCCTTATTTCTCCCAAACCTCACTTATCCAAGACCATTACACAAATATATATAAAAACATAGTGTCTGTGTGTGAGGGTGGAATGGGAGGGGTCGCAGCAGATGATAGCACAGCAGATGAAATAAATTGCTAGACATCCTCAATGCAAAGGCGCCTCAGTTTATAAATATCCCCTTTCCTGGGATACCAGACCCCAGCCCAACCTGGGGAATGTTCACTTGTCTTCTCTTCTGTTATCTGCTGGCGCAGTTTGTTAGACCTCTTCTTTCCTTTCAACCTTTTCATCTCCACCTTGGCTCACATACCTCTCTCCTCAGCAAAAAAAAAAAAAAAAGCCTGTTTTTTTTAATGTTCAAAGAGCACTTTTTTAAAAATTTCTTGAAGACTTTCCCAAGTTTATAGGCAGTATTGAAGTACACAAAAATGTGTGTACTTAAAGTATATAATTCTATCAGTTTTGACATGCATACACTTATGAAACCAGCACCTCTCAATACATACTTCATTTCCATCAACCCCCACAGTTTCTTTGTGATCTTTTAAATACATTCATCTCTCCATCTCATCCCCGGCAACCACTAATCTGCTTTGTTTATATGTACATTAGTTTGTATTTTTAGTGTTTTATATAAATGGAGTCATACATTATATTCTTTTTTTGCCTGGCTTCTTTCACCCAGTGTACCAATTTTGAAATTTTTCAGTGTTGTGGGTATTAATAGTTTATTTTTCTTTATTGCTGACTAGCATTCCATTGTGTGGATGTACTAGAATTGGTTTTATCCATTCATTTACTGTTGAATTTGAATTTGGGTGGGATTTGGCTATAACACCTCTGAACACCCATATTCAAGTCTTTGGTGTTCATGCTTTCCTTTCTTTTTGGCAAATATTATAAGTGGGGTGGTTGAGTTGCAGTATATGTTTAACTTATTAAGAAATTGCCAAACTGATCAGTTGCAATGGCTCACATTTATAATCCCAGCACTTGGGGAGGCTGAGGCAGGCAGATTGCTTGAGCCCAGGAGTTCAAGAACAGCCTATGCAACAGAGCAAGACCTCCTCTCTACAAAAATGAAAAACAAAAAATATTAGCCAGGCATGATGGTACATGCCTGTAGTCCTACCTACTTGGAAGCTGAGGTGGAAGCATCCTCTGAGCCCAGGAAGTTGAGGCTATGGTGAGCTGTGCCGTTGCACTCCGGCCTGGGAGACAAAAGTTAGATCCTGACACATACCACCACACACACACACACACACACACACACACACACACACACTCACACACACAATAAAGCGCCAAATTGATTTCCAAAGTAGTTGTACAATCTTATACCTCCACTACCAATGTATGAGCGTTTTAGTTGCTCTCTGTCCCCATCATAATTTGATATGGTCATTTAAAAGTTAACCACTGTGTTTTATGTTTTTTTGTGTTGTGTGTGTGTGTGTTCAATGGACTTTGGTTTAGCCACCTCTCGGCTGTATTTTCATCAAGAAGAAGCATATTCTTAGGTTTACAAGGAATAAAAACAAATTATTCCTGTTGTTTTAGTGATACTAATAGTGTTCCTTCTTAAAGTCCAAAGTGTTCTGGTTTGGATGATAAAATGTTTTCTCTGCTTCTAGCTTCAGTGGCCATGCCCCTAGGCTGTCCTTCCACAGTCACTCCACACATCAAGGCATTCTGCTCAACAAAGATTTTCTCTACTCTAAAAAATGTCCCCCTTTGTCTTAAACAATTTTTTTTCCCTCACCACAATAGGATTTCAGTGAATGGTGTAATGCAGCCTAGAGCTTGGGCAGGAGAGCATGGGAGGAAGGAGGGCATTCTGGCCAGAGAAGGGAGATCAATTTGCCTGAAAGTAAAGCCAACAAAGAAGATGGTGGAACCAAAGATGTAGGGAGTCAGATCATGCCATGGTGACATCATTTGGACTGGATGCAGCTATGCTTGAGGTAAGCTCTATTCCTTAACTTTTCCACAGGGAACCAGGAAATCCCCTTTTATGCCTAAGCTAGTTTGAATAATAAACACAGCTTGGGAATGTGCTTAGAAAGTCAGTAGTTTTGTCAAGCCTGGGCTGCTGCTAATTTCACAACTGAAGTACCTTCTGCCCGTGAGGTAACATTTTTGCTGACCCAGGCCCTGGAATGAAAGCAGATGCATTGGTCACATCGGTTGAGGATGAAACTTCAGAGTACACTAAATGGCCAGGGTCAAAGTATTCGACAATATCACCACATGATTCACTTAATCGAATACTCTAGCTCTGGGTATCCACTGTAATGCAGCACGCTCTTTAATCTTTAACTACATTGCCATTTAGCAGCGTGATCCAAAAACCGTTCGAGTTTTGGGAAGCAGCCTCCATTTCCCAATAGCATTTCTTTCCTTTGTAATGATTATATTTAATACTTACAGAACGCCTCCTTATTGACCCAGTACGCTGAATGCGCAAAGAAGCAACCCTATATTTGACCTATGTGAACATACAAGAGGTGTGTGACCTCTTCTAGGAGCACCGTGAGTCGCTGGCATTAGAGGACACCTCTCTGAGCAGATTGCCCTGGCCTTTGTCCCCATGGCCCAAAGACGGACGAAAAGCAGCTAGGCAAGTCTCGCCTCCTCTGGCGATGCTAAACAGCATCTACCCGGCACAACCAGTCCGGGGTCCTAGGCAGCAAGCCTGGTTCGGGAGCCTCAGAAGTGGACGGCCTCCCTGTGACCCGCCTCCGCCATCACGGTGCAGGCCCCGCCCCCTCGGTTCCGAAGTCCCGCCTCTGCGCTCTCGGGGCCCGCCCTCACGCCACAGCCCCGCCCCCATGCTCTCTGACTCGCTCTCCACCCCCCCCAGCGCCGTGGCCCCGCCCCCGCACGCCGTGGCCCCACCTCTCGCACTACAGGCCCCGCCCCCGCCCTCTCGGGCTCGGCTCCCCACCCCGTGCGCCAGGTCCCGCCCGGCGCTCCGGCCCCGCCCGCGCGTCCCCTCGGGAGTCCCGGGGAGGAGTGGCCGCGCGGAGGAGGCGTGGCCGTGGTGCCCGCGGAGGCGCGGAGGCGCGGGCGGCGCGGCCGAGACTTTGGCTTTGACACCGACTGCGAGCGGACGCCGCGGCGCTGGTGCTGGGTCTGGTCGTGCTCTGGCGGATCCCGCGCCCGAGTTGGGCGCCGGACGCTTTGCCCGGATAAACGCAGCTGCGGCGACGCCGCAAGTCCTGGTGCAGCCTTGGCGACCGGATTTCGCCACCGCTGCCGCCGCCTCCGAGCAGCCCTGCAGCTTCTGCCCGCTCTGATAGCGCGACGCTGAGAGTTTCTCCCGCAGAAAGCGCCGGGACACTCGGACCGAGGAGGCGTGGGAGGCTTCCCGGGGCCGGGCCGCTAACCACCAGGCGCGGGCTCCAGGGCTAGAGGCAGGGGCCCGCCGCCCCGGGCTGGGCACAGGTTTCTGAGCGGCAGGTGGAAGAAGGGACGTCCCGGTAGAGCGGCCAGAGGTGAGGCGCGGTGATCGGCGGCGGGTCGGACGGGGGTCGATAAACCCCTTCTCGGTGCTGGTACCGGCGAACACCGAGTTCCCAAGTTGAAGGTGGCGCTGAGTACCAGGCACGGAGCATGGAGGTTGGGAGGCTGAGCCCTCCGGTCTGCCCGAGCCCGGGTGGGGGTGACCGAAGTGGGGACATGACCCCAGCGTAGAGTTGAGAGACGCCCGGAGGAGAGCGTGAGGCTGATTAGGAGCGGTCTCTTCCCCAGAGAAGAAACTCATGGCCTTATTGGGCCTCAATGTGATTAAAAACAGGACGTCCACAGAGGAAAATCCATATGGGCTCAGCCTCACTGTATCTGCGTTTTCAGGGGTTCACAGTCAACCACTAACCCCGGACGTCTGGTTACTAAGTCTAGCACTAGGTCGGCAGTGCTAATGCAGATTGATTAATTCAGTCGATTTGTGTGTTCATTTCTTTTCCAGGTGGCCAAGTGAAAGGTGATTTTTGGACACTCGACATGGAAGATTTGGTGTTTATCTGTGGCAACCTCTTCAGTTCCTAAATCCCGCACCTTCCATTCTTTCTGAGCTTGAAAGGTCTACCGGGCTTCCTTCCTTGCCAGAGAGTTCTTCTGCAGTGGGGGAGCCTGCGTGGGCCTCCTGATCCTGGCCAACCATGGGGAGCACCCTGGGCTGCCACCGCTCCATCCCCAGGGACCCCTCGGACCTGTCCCATAGCCGCAAGTTCAGCGCAGCCTGCAACTTCAGCAACATCCTAGTGAACCAGGAGCGACTGAACATCAACACTGCCACGGAGGAGGAGCTGATGACTCTGCCTGGGGTGACACGTGCTGTGGCACGCAGCATCGTGGAGTACCGAGCGTATATCGGTGGCTTCAAGAAGGTGGAGGACCTGGCACTGGTCAGTGGTGTGGGCGCCACCAAGCTGGAGCAGGTCAAGTTTGAGATCTGTGTGAGCAGCAAGGGCAGCTCTGCACAGCACTCTCCTAGCTCCCTGCGGCGGGACTTGCTGGCTGAGCAGCAGCCTCACCACCTGGCCACCGCTGTGCCACTCACCCCACGTGTCAACATCAACACGGCCACTCCAGCTCAGCTCATGAGTGTGCGAGGCCTCTCAGAGAAGATGGCCCTCAGCATCGTGGACTTCCGCCGTGAGCATGGGCCCTTCCGCAGCATCGAGGACTTGGTAAGGATGGATGGCATCAATGCCGCCTTCCTGGACAGGATACGGCACCAGGTGTTTGCTGAGAGGTCCAGGCCCCCATCCACCCACACCAACGGGGGCCTGACCTTCACCGCCAAGCCTCATCCCAGCCCCACCTCGCTGAGCCTGCAGAGTGAAGACCTGGACCTGCCACCAGGGGGGCCCACGCAGATTATCTCCACTCGGCCTTCGGTAGAGGCCTTTGGAGGCACAAGGGATGGGCGGCCTGTGCTGAGGCTGGCCACCTGGAACTTGCAGGGCTGCTCGGTGGAGAAGGCCAACAACCCAGGGGTGCGAGAGGTGGTGTGCATGACACTCCTGGAAAACAGGTAAGGACAGGAACCACCAAGGGTGTTGGGTATGAAGGCAGCTTTTGTGTGGCCTCATCGGTGGATGCAAATAAGTGGACTCTTTTGGGGGAAGAGAAGGGGCAAGAACATTTAATTAGTCATAAGGTCCCAGCCCCACCTAAGGGTGGGCTCTCTTTCTGTTCCAGAATTTTCTGGATACAGCATTTGGGTTTGTGGCCTCTGTCTTGAGTCTGATATACATGAGTTTGAGTCATACTTTTGGGGTAAGTGGAGGTTGTACTGGTGGTACTGTTTGGAGAATATTATTTGGTTCACAGGACTTCATAGGGTTTACACCAAATCAGGTATCCAGAGCCTGGGAACTGGTGCATGGTTTTGCATGTGAAAAAGAGCTAATTGGATTTCTTTTATTAATGGGAAGGAAAATCACATTTGTTTCATCAAATATGCCTATTTCTGTGCACAAAATTGTCTTAAAGACCAGGTATTTGCAAACACATACACTGTCTATATTTACCAAAATGTGGTGAATGAATCATTCTCCAGTCTTTTTCCTTATTTAACCTGAAGTCAGTTTTCAGTCCCATAAATGCAATCCCAAATGTTTATAACCTCTCCTGTCTTGTAGCCAGAAAGGGGCAAGCTGATGTGTGTGTATATTGGCCAGATTTTCCCATTTAAACCAAAGGAGATTTCAGGATTGGCTGTTATCACGGAATGTTTACATTATTCACAACACTGTTCTCAGTAGGAACTTCCTCCAACCCTCCCCATAACACAAAAATGATATTATTGTGGCATAACTCCTACTGTTAATAAAATTGTGTACTGTATAATGTAATCAGCTTTGGGAAGGAAAGAAATATTTGCCACTTTCAGGTCATAAGTGCTGTGATCCTGGTCTTGAGGAATTTTGCCCTGCCACCCACCAGGGGTACAGTGTTCCTGGCTACTCGTTGCTTTCCTTTGTACTGGGTTGTTGAGGCTGGTGGGCAGCAGTTTGGTGACCCTGGGCAGGAAATCACTGTGCGTGGTGGCAGATCACCGACATAAATTAGTGAGGAGAAAAGCAGGTCACAGCATTTCCCTGGCATTAACCCAGTGGCATGCTCTTGACACTGAGTAGGGAGGGACCCTGCACTGGGTCAGAGAACTGGACCAAGGAAGCTCTTGCATTCTCTACCCACACTGCTGTGGCCTCTATTTTGCATGCTAACTCACTTCTCTTGCAAAATCATCTTGTGCACAGGTGAGAGTTAGACTTAGCCCTGGAAGGTATTTATCAGGTATGGCTTGATAATTGTTCTCTTCATCTGTAGCAGCATGGGTGTATGAATGGGAAAAGAGGAGGGGAGAGGAAGGGAGGGGCACAGCTATTTAATTCCTATTATGAGTTTTCTAAATGGCTCCATTTGGAAGGAGGACTGTGGATTAGGATCCGAAGTTGTTCCAGTGGGACTGACCGACAGGGCAGCCCTTTCCTGTTTACTATGTTAGTAGTCTTTCAGGTGTGGTCCCCTGAAGCAGCAATGGCAGCTACTGACTGGGGAACTCTGGGTTTCTGTGTTTTAACACACCCTCCAGGTGGTTCTGAAGCATGCTAAATTTTGAGAGCCATTGTACTAAGTATTAAGTATCAGTTGATGAACTGCCCCTCTGGGTTGGCCTTCCATAGCCATGGGTTCCAGATTCATGAATTCAGCTAACTATGGATCTAAAATATTTGGAAAATAAAAGGGAATCGGCCAGGTGCAGTGGCTTCCAGCACTTTGGGAGGCTGAGGTGAGAGGATTACTTCAGCCCAGCAGTTCAAGAGCCAGCCTAGGCAATGTAGCAAGATACTGTCTCTACCAAAAAAAAAAAAAAAAATAGTCCAGCTACTCTGGAGACTGAGGCAGAAGGATCACCTAAGCTCAGAAGGTTGAGGCTGCAGTGAGCTGTGATGGTGCCACTGCATTCCAGTCTGGGCAGCAAAGTGAGACCCCCAACTCAAAAAAAAAAGATGGTTGCATCTGTACCAAACATGTACAGACTTTTTTCATGTTATTTTTCCTTAAACAATACAGTAATGATTTATATAGCATTTACATTGTATTAGCCATCCTGAGTAATCTAGAGATGATTTAAAGTATACAGGAGGATGTGCCCAGGTTAGATGCAAACACTACGTCATTTTATATCAGGGACTTGAACATTCAAGGATTTTGGTGTCACAGGGTTCCTGGAACCAATCCCCCATGAATGCCAAGGAACAACTGTACTTTTTTCCCTTTGTCTTGATCATCTTTCTAGTTATTCAGCCCTACGATGCTTTTTCTGGTCAGTGCTATAAGGGCTTATTCAGTTTCTAGGATATGTGAATGTGAAGAATAGAAAATGGGAGAGTGAGCACAGACAGTCTGCCTGAGAGTTGCTTCTACTCCGCAGCTTTCTGAGCAAGCTTGCTAGCAACTCTTGTCAGTGTGGAATGTTAGGGCTGTCCTGCTTTGGATTTCCTAGAGCGATGATTTGTTGAAGATATTGAACTACTGTCTTCAGGTGAGGGTGCAGGTAAAGCTTACCCCAAATCCACTAGGGTGTGGAAGGGAGTACCAGTAAGAGGCTGAAAATGTGGCCTGTACCTCTATCACATGCTCACACGTGGCCATATGTGTTGTCCTGTGAGTGGGTGGTTCCTTTTGCCTGGTCACAAGATTCAGTGTCCTGACACTCCTAGCACATTGCTGGTGTCTGGTAAACATGAAATAATAGGCTTAGGTCCTGATCCCCTGCAGAGCTGCAGTGGGTGCTTTTGCCTGTGTGACTGTCCTAGGGAACCAGAAGCTGTCACAGAGTGGATCTCGTGTCCTTAATGTCAGCAGTACCCGTTCTCCAAGAGCTACGTGTTCATCCTGATTCATGGAAACCTCTCACATTCCATTTGTTCTTTGTATTAATAAGAGGAAATACATTTATTAAGCAAGAATGGGTGCAGGTAATTTTCCGGGTGGCTCTTATTTGCATCCACGTATACTGGGAAGCAGATAATGCTTGCTTCTGTTAATGATTCTTCCTCCTGGGGTGAGGAAACTAAAACCAAAGAAGTTAAATGACTTGTCTTCATCACACTGATCATTAGTGACTCAGCCAGTACGGGGACCCAGACCTTCTGACGTTAGACCCATGCTCCCTGTGAGAGTGGGGCTGTGTTTTGTAAGAATAGCACCTTTATCCTGCCTCATGGTAGGTGCCCACCTCTGCCTCATCAAGGGCACTTGCCAAACTATGTGCCAGTCACAGTTTCTTAAATTAAATCCATTGCAAAGTCATTTTTTTTTTTTTTTGAGTTGGAGTCTCACTCGGTTGCCCAGACTGGAGTGCAGTGGCCGCTCCCGGCCACCGCAGCCTCGCCTGCTGGGCTCCGGCAATCCTTCCGCCTCAGCCTTCCGAGTAGCTGGAATTACAGGCGCGTGCTAGCACGCCCGGCTGATTTTTTGATTTATTGTAGAGATGAGGTCTCGCTGCCCAGGCGGGTCTCGAACCTGTGGGCTCAGGCAATCCACTCACTTTAACCTCCCAAAGGCGCAGGATTACAGGTTGAGCCACCGAGCCCGGCATGCAAAGGCATTTTAAAGATAACATTGGGCAAAGGGAATAGCTTCTTCTTTTGCAAAGGAAGTAGCTGGCTCTTTGTTTTCCCTTCTGTGAGTTTACTCTAGTTGACGTGGTACTGGTGTGGGATGGGACTTAGAATCTTTTCTTGCCCTGAGATGCTGCTGCCTGGGTGGAGGAGCTTGTATGAGCTATAAGAACCTGTGCTTCCCATGTGAGACCTGAGGTAGGACAGCATAGTTAGATAATCATATAGTAACCAGGAACCTTCAGGGCTGCCATGCTGGTGGCATAGAACTGACAGATTTCATTAGATTATTTTGCCAAATCTCAGTCTTAGGCAGTGTTTTTTCTTGCTCAGTATTTATGGAGCAATACTAAAAGACAAATGTTTCTGCTAAATATGCTTGCAAAATTTGGTGACATTCCACATCTGGAATGAAGATCGGTTAATTTTTAATTTGTATTTATTTCTTGCAGGGAGTCATTCTCTTTTGAAAAGTCCCTTTGGTTACTGAAAGTATAAACCCTGAGGGAGCTGACAGATAATCTCCAAAAGAAATAAGGAGATTTAACATCCCATTTGCTCATTTTCCCCATGGCCTACATCAGAAGGGGACTTGAGCGTCAAAATCTTTAGCCCTATAATGGCTTAAATCTGTTTTTTCTTGCCACATGTCTACGGTATCAAAGCACAAGGTGGATTAGTGCCTAGCAACACGCACTGACTGTAAAAAAGGAGATTTTGTTAGTAGGATCAATATAGACATAACCCATCTTGTCATTTGATCCATTCATTGAAAAATATGTGTTGAATGCCTGCTGTGTGCATGTATAAGCTAAATTCGGGAATCAGCTTGGCCTCGTTACTTAGCAGAGTTAAGTAAATGTAGATTAGTTTGGATGGCTCAGCATCAAAACAGTCTGGTAAATCCAGATTTTTTGGGCAATTCACAGTGCATGATTGAGATGTGGTTATATTTTTCTCGTATGAGCAGTAGACCTGTCCTTGGAGATTGAAAGGTGGGCGGATGCAGCCAGGCATAACATCTGCGGACAAAATGCGCGGCAGTCCTTTTAAAGTAGAGATTGCGAATCTGTTTTGACAGCTGTGGAAACTGAGGCTCCAAGAGATTAAATAGCATCTGTATGACCTTCGGAATGTAGAAGTTGAAGTCAGGAATTAAAGCCAGGCATTTGTCTGATTTCAAAGCAGAGGGATTGGGTGTGTCTTTTCCCAAACTCCATGTCCTTCCTCTGCCTGCCACTCCCAGCCCACCCATGCTTCCTCTCTGGCCTGGGTCCTTGGCTGACCAGGTATCAGGGCCTTGGGGAGAAGTGGGGCTTCACTTAGACCTCTGGGTCTTTGTTAGGGTTCTGGAGGCCTTTGCTTCCCTCCTGTTTTTGTTCCTCCAAAGGATGGGCCT